TTCCTTTTTCTACTTTCTACATCTGCAATCCCTTCACTTGATGCACGTAAACCAAGCTGCCATCAATGTGTTCATTGATGTTGGAAAAAAAAAACACAATGCACTTTCCTTGATATTAATTTATCTGTTTGATGTATTATTTAAGAGAGAACCCCAAAGCAAGAGAATTGAAAATTACTAGCAGGCGATGAGAGGAGCAATGCCTAGTCGAGGCGCATCTATGCGAATAATATGATAAATTCAAAACATGCTGGACCAACATTGTGCACAAAATCTAATCGATCTTCATATACTCAGAACTCTTTCTTTGCAAATTCCCATGGTCGAAGCCCCACCCCTGTTTCTATCAAAGTAAAGAGAATGATAACGCCATTACCAAGGAAACCCAGACCCCATGAGAAACACGTCTGGGAGGGACTAGTCTGGCTCATTGCAATTACACAAATTAACCTGTTATTACACAAACTAATTAAAAATATGTAATTAGGAAACCAAGTATATAGCTTAATTAATTGCCGGTTGGAGATGGATAGTTCATCGGTTTCTAGTAAGGTGAAGCGAGTGAAGCAGCATGGTTGCTGAGTAGGCATGCATAATGCTCAGAGAGGATCTGGCGGAGATATTGGAAATTTGGAATAGTGATTAGGGAAGGGGTTAACGTGTTAAAAGGGAATTGGTACTTGTTAAACCAAAATTAACACATTCCCGAAAGAGGCGCGCCTAAAAGTGAGAAAAGACCAAAAGTGCATCTCTTTTTGCGATTGTATGCCCACTGGCCAAGCATAAGAGACAACACTTTATTTTTCCCAACACGGATATTAGCAATCTGGATGATTTTGACAACGATTTTTCCACCTTTATATTTTTTTCTTCCGGAAAAAGGACTTTTCATTCACAAGATGGCAAAATGCAGTGCAAGTTCATGCTCAGAGAGGATTAGAGGGAGATTGGCGTGTGGGGTGAGCGTGAGCATGTAAATTGTAGAGTATACTATTAACTGTCTAATCACCAAAGAGAGGGAAACAAACTGAAGGCCTTTATTAGTGCCTCCGCCATAAATGTCTATTCTTCGGCCGCTCAATAATGTTTGTTCTGATAATTTTCCTTTTGGTAAAGAAAAGTCCAACTGAATTTGGGTTTAGAGCTTTTAAGGACTAAAACATATCTTCAAATTCAAAAAGTATTTATAAAGATAGTTACAGGTTGTCTAGAGACAAAACCTTTATATCTATGGGCTGACTCATTATCAATTTGTTCTAATAATTATTTTTTTTTTTTATTTAGCGATACACACCGGGGAGTAGGGGTGGAAATAGACCAGGCGGCCTGTCAGGGGCCTGTGGTCTGGCCTGTAAGTGGCCTGGCCTGGCCTATTTCCAAATTAAAACAAGCTTAGGCCTTTTTAAAGGCCTGTTTCTCTTAAAAGGCCAGGCCCAGGCTCTTTAATAAGCCTGTTAAGCCTGTTAGACGGCCTGGGCCTGTTATATTTTTTTAAAAATATTATAATTATAAGTTTATAATTAACTTTTTTAAAATAATACCATGTTTTGATTAATATTGTAATATGCCCAATACCACATTTTTATCCTGAATAAGACCATGTTTGGATTACTCTTCAATATACCTTGGATGATGATTTCTATAATATACACTTTGTTATTCATTCAAATCCTATTGCCCGATGATGATTTTGTGTTTGTCATTTTTGACTTTTATTTACCTATACAAAACTACTTAGGTTTTCTAACGTACATCATCAACAATTGACAATAGAAATAACCCCTCTATGAATTTGATTTCTGTTTATCCCTTGTATTGTGACCATTTTAACTACATCTTCTCCTCAAGTTATTAAATATTTTTCACTTAAATAATATAATTTGAAACATGAACAACAAAATAATATACTACCATTTGAATATTAAATATTTTTCACTTAAATATTTTAGATAATTTTATGTTTGTATTTTATATAATTTGGATTGAGTTATTATAATGTTGAGTTGATTTAAATATGTTTAAAATATTTTTAAAAAAATACAGGCTTCTTAACAGGCTTCAGGCCAGGCCAGGTTTTTACACAGGCCAGGCTTAGGCTGAATATAAGGCCTGTCACAGGCCACAGGCCAGGCTCAGGCCAACAGGCAGGCTTAGGCTGAATATAAGGCCTGTCACAGGCCACAGGCCAGGCTCAGGCCAACATGCTTCAATACAGGCCTGGCCTGTTAAGGGTAAAACCTGGCCTGACCTGACCTGTTTCCACCCCTACCGGGGAGGCCATCAGTGTCCTCTCACGTGGAGTTCTCATTATATACAAAGGGGTTTTTTTTTTTTTTTTACCAGACATGATATACAAATGGTTACGCATTTCCACGGGGTCCTTAAATATGTTTTGTCTTTTACTACATTTTGAATTAGGAAGGCAGTTGACTTGCAGGCATGGCGTTTTTTGACTCTCAGGCAATCTTGGGGAGACCGAGAGAGCGAATCGGTTTTAGATGTTATTAATGCTGTTAACGTTAATTGCATCACCAGCTAAAACTAAAAGGACCTCCCGAATTCTCTTTGGTGTCACACTCCCACTAAAATTTCGTTCGGGCTAAATGACCACCCACATGAGTACAGAATTACCAGCTGTCATTTTGCCGTTATCAGGAATCCTACGCAGTTTTTTTTTTTTTTAAGCAACGTTGTATGTTCTTATTTTTTCCAACGTTATAGTATAGGAAAAATATATATCAATTATGTATATTCTATGATCTCAAATGTCATGCTGTTGGTCAAATAAAAATGTCATGCTGTTGGTAATAATACTATGGTCCAAGATAACATTGCCGAAAGCTGGTAAAAAAAAAAGATAACATTGCCTAAAGTAAATGCAGCAATTGAAAAACGAGTCTTGCTAATGAACATATTTTTCTTTCCGATAAAAAACAAATATTGAACATATTTTTCTCAATGGAACGATCATTTTAATTTAAAAACATTTAGAAATGAGTGTAAAAATTCACAGTCAAAAAGACTAATATTTTTTGAAATGGGGGGATAATAGAATTAACATCAGCATCTCACCAAAAAAAAAAAAATCAACATTGAGTCAGATACTCAGATACAAGCCACGCTCCCTCCATTTCTATTTATTGGACAAAATTTTAGAAGATGGTTTATTTCCATTTATAAGACAGATTAAGAAATTTGAGGATTATCTAATTTTTTTTCTCAATATATTCTTATTGAATGTATGAAATTATTTGTTATTAATACTGTTTTTTTCCATTTAAAATCAGGAGCATTAAATAAGGACAGGAGTGAAAGAATAAAATAATAAATCTTAGTTAAGTTAGTTTAATCAACCCGCGAGAATTAGCCAAATAAATAATTTTGTACTCCTCCGATCCTTAATATAGGAACCAATTGTTAAGTTGGTTTTAATCTTAAATATAAGACTCATTTTTCATATTTATTAATTTTTTCTAAATTACCCATATTAATACTCTCTCAACCATAATCAAGTAGAAGAGGAAGAAGTGCTATTAAAAAAGATCATCATGGTATTTAAGAAAAAAACGTGTTATATTTTTATAATTAACTAACTTAATTAATTTTTTTAATTTAATCAAATTAATTAAATAGGTTTTATATTAAGAATTAGAAGAGTATTATAAATGAAAACGAGAAGAGAAGGAATTGAGGCGGCGAAGAAGGAAATGAGAAAAAAGAGTAACTGTAGCATAAAAAGGGACAGGCAAAAAAGAGCAGCGAAGGAGTGAACGAAGAATAGTCGGACGTTTGCGTCATTGCGTGTTTGCGGTGAGAGACTGAGAGTGACGCAACACGCGTCACCACGGGACACCTCCCACTCCTGTTCCTCCTCCTTTGTGTTTTTACGCTTTCGTCCCTCTGTCACCCCAAAAAAACAAAACTCTCCCCTTTTTTGGCTGAACCGGCCCTCCGGATTCAGGCAGCAAAATGTGTCACATTTCCTCTCAATTACTAGTAACTTAAACTAGGAAATCATGCACGGCCAGTCCCTCATTTGTCCCCAGCACTCCACTCGAGTATTCCCAAGTGGCTTCCTCTTTTACATTATCCCGACCTGGTAAAATTATCTCGCTATTCCCTGTCCTAACTTATCTTCGGTTATCAGAGGAAACACCGGATAATCACGCACTCCCTGGGTTCTTATATGTAAACTTTACTTTTAAATGGATTTGGTTTAAAATATAAACTTTATTTTTAAGTTTGTACAAGTATTTATTATTATTTTTATTTTGTCTTTATTTTTTTTTTACCAGCTTATTTGTCTCTAGTTGACTGTTTTTAGTACTATCTCTCTCATTAATATTATTTTCATATATTTTTTTCATCATTTTTTTATTTATTGATTCTCATTTACGTTTTTAATAAATAAATACAAATTAAAAAAAGATATTTTTTATTTATTTATTATTTTTAACTAATTTTAACTGTTATCATTATTAAGCATGATTCAGTTATTTGACACTTATATATAAGATTTTGAAAGTTAGATGTAAGACCGGAGGGAGTATTTTAATTTTTATGCCTTCCTCCTCATCTCTTATATTTAATACTATTCCGGTCATGGGTATATTTAAAATTTAAACATCCATAATATTATAATTGTTCACATAATATAACAAAAGGGTAATCCTTTTATTTGGTTGCTATGAAGTATGAACTACTCGGTCATATCCTTCTGATTGCCGCACCCCACACTAGGGGCCCCCACTCCCCCCCTGTCTCTGCCTTTTACCCTAAAAAGAGGCGTTCTCTTCCTTCATAAGGTCCTCTCTGTCGACAGCTTTTTCAGCTCTTCCTTGAAACAGAGCACAGCACTGCCTCATATGTAGAAGGACAGTTTGCATTCATTCTCCTCTTGTTCTTATTTCCCCATATTAACTCTTCTTCTTTAATCGTTCCCTCACACATCTCCATCTCTTCCTCTCTTCTCTAAAACAAAACGGAACGCTTAATCAGTTATCTGAAAGATTCATTTTTGTTTCTTTGTTTGTCTGCGTTGCTCGTTTTATAAAACTGGTTCTGCCTTGAAGGGCCGAGAAAGAGGCTTATCGGTCTTGTTTGCAATGGCACCCAGTTTCGATTGTGTCTCGGCACTTCTCTGCGCAGAAGACGACAGCATTTTCGACGATGGCGATTATGGAGCTACGATGGAGCCGTTGGACGTTACACGCGGACCCCGTAACCATAACCTGTGCTTTCATGATCGACACGATGGGTTGCCATTGCAGAGTGACGAGTGTTTAGCGCAAATGGTGCAAAAGGAATGCGACCACTTGCCTGCAGGAGATTACCTGAATAGGCTACGAACTGCGGATTTGGACTTTGGGGCCAGAAAGGAGGCCGTTGATTGGATTGAAAAGGTGGGTTACAGGCTGTGTTTAATTTTATTTTTTGAAGCTCTTAACAATCACAGTGACCATTCAGTTTCCTAACGGACGATATCCTGTTTTTGCTGCAATTAATATGGCCAACTTCTTTTTCCTTCATTTTTAGACGGATGTTTCTGATTTCTGAATCTTCGTATTTTCCTTTAGGCTCTGAAATCTAAACAACACAGCAAAAATGTGATTTATGTGAAAAGTGTTTTGTTAAGATTTCAGTTAAACGAACAGTGTCGTCGTTCTGTGCTCCGTGGTGGGTCCTTTACTAAGTTTCAATTGCTTGGGGTGAAATTAATGGATTTTCCTTATATTCTAAAGCCGATCTGATCATCTGGTTTTGATTGTGTTCATGCATTTCTGCCGTTTTTCTTTTCTTTTCTCTTTTTAATGTTTAAATATGCACATACATTTCCGTTTCGATCTCATAACCTGTATTAAACCATCGTGAGCATGGGGTCAATCGCTGGGCGAAAGATTCTGAGTTCATAATGTTCGGTTGGTATTATCCGATTGTCCTGTGTCGTTGTCTTCTACTTGATTAACGGGGATACTGGTTCCACAGGTTCGAGAGCACTTCGGTTTCAGCCCCCTCTGTACATATCTATCCATAAACTATCTGGACCGTTTCCTTTCATCATACGAATTACCAGTAAGTGTCCAAGCGTGAAAAGATCAACGCTTTGTTCTTTTCCTGGTTGTATTCTGCTCCGGTTTTGATCTAATGGATCCACATGCAGAAGGGAAAAGGCTGGACAATGCAATTGTTGGCCGTGGCATGCCTGTCTCTCGCTGCCAAAATGGAAGAGGCTGAAGTTCCCCTGTCTGTTGATTTGCAGGTAGGCAATGGTGTTTTTAATGCTTAAAATAATACCGGCCAGGCTGTGTGCCGATCAAAGACGCGGCGATTAACGTTGGGTTTGGTACAGGTGGGAGGATCAAAGTTCGTATTTGAAGCAAGAACAATACAAAGAATGGAACTTTTGGTACTGAGCACACTGAGGTGGAGAATGCAGGCCATCACTCCGTTTTCCTTCATAGACTATTTTCTATTCAAGCTGAATGATGATCAGAAACCAGAAGGAAGTTCCATATCGCGATCCATCCAAATCATATCGAGCACAGCGAGAGGTACGCACTGCCGGCTCTGCTATTTGTAATAACGGCAATTATAAATGGAAGGAACGGAAGATAATGATCATTGAATGCAGGGGTTGACTTATTGGAATTCAGGCCCTCGGAAGTTGCAGCGGCAGTGGCAATATGTGTTGTAAGGGAAACCCAAACGGTGAATACGGAGAAAGCAATTTCGGTGCTGAGTCAACATGTTGAAAAGGTAAAATGAATGGCTTACACATGTGGTGGATTTCGAAGGAATAGTGCTACATGTGGACTCGCATAATTGAACTATGCTGGTTTGTTTGTTTGTTTGTTTTGTATGTTTGTGTTGGGCAGGAGAGAGTGGTGGAGTGCTTGAAGATAATAAAGGAGATGGCATCAAACGGAAGAGAAGACTGCGTGGCGCAGAGCCCAATTGGGGTGTGGGAGGCGGCCGCATTATGCTGGAGCCATAAAAGCGAAGGATCAAGTTCATGTGGGAGTTCGTCTTCGTCACGTGATGGCCCCGATCCTAAAAGGATCAAGTTAAACAATACAAGTAACAGTGGAGTAGAGCTGTTGTAGTGAATTTGGAGGCACGCTGCTTTACTCAGAATACAGAGTGTGTGGTTTATAGGAAGGTGCCGCCCCCCCTTGGTCGAAACAGAGGAGGCAGAGCTGGTGGTGAATTTTGAGACGAAGGAAGTGAGCTTCAAATGATGGTCGGGGAAAGAGGTTGAATTGAATTCTGAGGGAGGAAGGGGCCACCCTATTTGTCGGAGCTGCTGTTAAATAATTTTACAGCTCTTAACAGCTAGCTACGGACCAGAGATCGCAAAGCGCGGCCCTATTGCTGGATGCCAGTGCCATTTTGTTTTCAGTACAGTTTGTGTTAGGCTTTATTATTATTATTCTTTTTCAGTACAGGCACTAGCCTCACATAAATATTAGTGTTATTTTCATACGACCTTGTTATTAATTTTTCTTTTCCTTTCTTCTCTCTTTCCCCTATCCTGTTGTCTGTTTATAACTTTATATCGTATTTTCCTAAATAAAAGTTTGAGCAGAACTGTTGAACTCATCAAAGAGGTCCCAGCGTGCAAAAGCCATGCTCTGCCAGAAAAGATCTTTATTTTTTAAATCAAATTTTGCAAAGATATAAATATAGGACAATTAAACACTTGAAGGTTTTATTTTATGTACGGATGGAGTGTATCTTTGTGCTAAATTTTATATGGTGTGATTTTATTTATTTTCGAACCACCCATGCTTTCGTTTGGAAGAATAGTGATGGATGGACGAGCAGTCTCACATGTTAGTGGGGGGAAAAGGTCAACGGTGATCAATGAAGGATACGAAACTCCCGCATGTCTCTGGATGTGAATAGAAGGGCTCGGTTTATTCCGAAGATAAAGAACGGCGTCAGCCAAACTAAAACATGAAAACACATAATATTTTTATTACTTGAGTGCACCTCTTCCTCTTTCGTGCAACAAACTAAAAAAATCAAACAAGTTTTCAGGTTTGTTTTTTAATATCAAAACCTATCCTAAAATCAGGTTTTGTTATTTCTCTTAATTCTTTAGCTGTCTTGTAATTAACCATTAAAGATATCTTGGCTTTGTTTTCAGAAGTAATCTTCTAAAATCATTTTACAAAATGGTTTTCAGAAACAAAACTAGAGAAGAAAATCAAAAGGTCCCAAAAATGCAAATAGTAAGCTTCTCTCGATTACTCAATAACGGGGCAGAATGAAGCTGGTCAGGGGGCCCAAACTTAGTGTTCAGAGGCTTGTAATGTTTATCTTAAGCTTTCAGAAGGGGTTGTGATGTTCACCTTAATTAGGAAAGCCTGGGTAACGATGGCAAAAGAACAACAACAGCAGATCAATAGGGACCGTACGGGATACGGTAGGAGGTAGGGGTGTGTATGGACCAGATGGGACAGGATTTTTTATCAACCCGAGTTTAGTAAAGATCTCAAGTTGAAAAAGACAGTCTAAAATTTGATCTAATCCAGTACCAACCTGAGGTCGGATTGGACTAGATTTGATTCATTAGACTGGTCCAGGCAGTCCAGGACCTCAATTTAAATTTTTTTAAATTTTTTTTCTTCAATGAGAAGCAAAATTGCAACTTACTATATAAAATTTTGCTTATGTGTTGATCCAAACTTCATCAAATTTGATCATTCTCTTTCAATTTCTCAATATTGTCATGTTTCATTTATTAAATCTCATTAATATTGATCTTATATTGTAAAAAATATATACACATGCTCATTATTTAAGAAGTTAATCAATAAATCTTGATTATTTGAATAGACAAAAAAACTTATATAGAGAATTAAAAAACAAATTAAAATTATCTAAATAATAGTTAAAAAAAAAAGTTAAATTGGAGTGGACCAACTGGTCTGAGGGATTAGTCCCTAGTCTAGTCCATCTGATAAGACTAGTCTTACTTCGAGTCAATTTTTTCTGAACCAAACTAAACTGAATTTGCTTGGATTGGATCGGACTATGCCAAATTACCAGGTTTTTTGCATAGCCCTAATAGGGGGATAAAATAGTGGGAGTGACGCGGGGTGCGAAAGTGAAAAGCAGCGCAGGACGTTAAAAATGGCAGCTGATGGGCAGGTTTCCACTGGGCACAGTTAAATAGATCTGGGACCCACTACAAACTGGATACGTGGCCCATTCTGTTCACTTCTGTTGACATGATCCGAAACCCACGACACGAAGTGCGGCACTTCGTTCGACCGAATACTACGTTGGCCCAAATCACTCTAACTCTCTGGCGTGGGCTTTGTGTCATGGCAATGAAAGGAAGCTTCCGCGCTTCCTAATAAAGCAAGCACGTCACGGCCTATATGTATAATATATATACATGGCCGTGCCTATCATCTTTTTTAATAGCTCTAAGAATTCAGCATAAAGGTGACATCGGAAAGTCCTCTTTATCTCAGCTGTTCACAGCTGAGTTCCACATTCATGGTCACATATTTGCACTTTCCCTTTCTTCCAAACAAAGAACGAGGTGCGTGTGTACCGTGTAGTGGACCATTGATCCAGAGCCGTGACCACCTCCCGCATTTGAATCGTGTGCA